ATAATAATAATAATAATAATAATAATAATAATAATAATAATAATAATAATAATAATAATAATAATAATAATAATAAAGTTGGAAGGGACCTTGGAGGTCATCAAGTCCAACCCCCTGCTCAGGCAGGTAACCCTATACCATTTCAGACAAATGGCTGTCCAGTCTCTTCTTAAAAACTTCCAGTGTTGGAGCATTCACCGCTTCTGCAGGCAGGTTGTTCCACTGGTTAATTGTTCTAACTGTCAGGAAGTTTCTCCTTAGTTCTAGGTTGCTTCTCTCCTTGATTAGTTTCCACCCGTTGCTTCTCATCCTGCCTTCAGGCACCTTGGAAAATAGCTTGACTCCCTCTTCTTTGGGGCAGCCCCTGAGATACTGGAAGACTGCTATCATGTCCCCCCTCGTCCTTCTCTTCGTTAAACTAGACTCACTTAGATGACTGAAATTTAGAAATGGACCATTTCTTGGAGGGTCGCATTAAATTCTGCTGAATCGGTTTCAAGGCCATATCCTTAATCGATCTGGAGATGGAAGAGAATATCGAATGCTGTGAGGTACAACTGTTGTGTCGTCTCTGCCTATGCTCCCTTGGGGATACTGAGCTTTATTATATAACAGTAATTATGTAAGGCAGGACAAGAAGCAACGGGTGGAAACTAATCAAGGAGAGAAGCAACCTGGAACTAAGGAGAAACTTCCTGACAGTTAGAACAATTAACCAGTGGAACAACCTGCCTCCAGAAGCGGTGAATGCTCCAACACTGGAAGTTTTTAAGAAGAGACTGGACAGCCATTTGTCTGAAATGGTATAGGGTTTCCTGCCTGAGCAGGGAGTTGGACTAGATGGCCTCCAAGGTCCCTTTCAACTTTATTATTATTATTATTATTATTATTATTATTATTATTATTATTATTATTATTATTATTATTATCATCATCATCATCATCATCATCATCATCATCATCATCGCACAGTCAGCCAGATGTTCAGACTGGATTTGGCATTTTGCCTATTATTATTATTATTATTATTATTATTATTATTATTATTATTATTATTATTATTATTATTACTATTATTATTATTATTATTAGCACCCTATCTTCATCTGAAAGATCCACGCTGGGCCTGAATAAGTCTACAATTGCATAAGACTGTGAATCTACATTTGACTTGCTTGAATAATCCTGGTTCTAGACTAAAACTGTTCTTCTTCCTGAAGGACATTTTATTTTTCTAGAGACATGGTTGAAAACTTGCTTTGATGTGCCAACAGAGTCTTTCAGTTTCATGGGTCTTCTTCAAAATACGATCCCAGAAACTTTTTTTGGGGGGAACACACCTGTAAAGTAGAATGTCTTCTTTTCAAGTCCCACTCTAAATAAGCCAGCCAATTTCTGGAATGAATTTTCTAAAGCTTTTTAACTGTTATATCATCAACGCAGTTCAAGAGGACAGTTGAAGGATACTTTGCTTCCAATAAGGCAGGCCAGTTATTACAACTCCCACTGTTTAAAAAAAAAAAAAAAAAAGCCTGTCTAGACCTATCCTCAAATTACCTAATCAAGTTACAAAACTGTTCAACGATCAACGACGTTTGACCACAAAGCTATTGGTAAAGACTTGGAAAGATTGGGACATCAAGAGTCACCGTTCTACTTTTGAGAATGACTGAACATTACTGACGCGGAGACAAGCCAAAAAAAAAATTAGAAGTGGATCCTGCTCAAAGAAACGAATAAATACACACTTGGGGAATTCTCAAGGGTCTTTCCTAAAGGGAAGCCCTAATAGATCCTAATTAATCACTATTCTAAAGGTTTTAGAAGAAGATTACAAAAGTCATACAGGATAAAGCTATCAATAGCTCCTGATCAAGAGAGCTATATATTACTTCCAGCACCAAAGGCAGACTCAGATTGGAAAAACATGTGCAAGATGTTCCTTTGATATCCATCTGCACACCATGGGAAAATAATGTTGAACGGAGTGAACCTCCGCGTGATCCTGGAATGCTATCTTTAAATTCTTTGGCACTGAAATAGGGAGAACCTTGGTGAACCTACCTTGTCCTTCACTGTATCACAAAAATTCACCTTCATAACTCAAAAGAGGAAGGCAACCATGCCTTCTGGAGTTCTTTTATGGAGAGTTAAGGCCCTGGCATTTTAGAGACAACCCCATTCACAATGAAACGGAAGACGAAGACAGTTGCAAAGAGCAATCTAATTATGTCATCACATTTTGAACGAAGTGTTTGACTCCGAATTCAGAAGAGTTAGATTTCGGAGCACCTAGTAGCCAGACAGACAACCTACTGCACGAAATAAAGATTTTGCAAAAATTCTTGATCTGGTAGTATTTCATGATATTGAGATCTGAACAACTGTTTCACTTAGTAACAGAAATTTGGGGCTCAATTGTGGTAATAATAATAATAATAATAATAATAATAATAATAATAATAATAATAATAATAATGAAGTTGGAAGGGACCTTGGAGGTCATCAAGTCCAACCCCCTGCTCAGACAGGTAACCCTATACCATTTTGGACAAATGGCTGTCCAGTTTCTTCTTTAAAACTTCCAGTGTTGGAGCATTCACTGCTTCTGGAGGCAGGTTGTTCCATTGGTTAATTGTTCTAACTGTCAGGAAGTTTCTCCTTAGTTCTAGGTTGCTTCTCTCCTTGATTAGTTTCCATCCGTTGCTTCTTGTCCTACCTTCAGGCGCTTTGGAGAATAGCTTGACTCCCTCTTCTTTGTGGCAGCCCCTGAGATATTGGAACACTGCTATCATGCTATCATATGTATGCTAGCAACTGATATATATGTACTGCATAGTATATGGATATATACTATATAATATATCTGTACTGAATAGTATATGGATATATACTACATAATATATCTGTACTGAATAGTATATGGATATATATTCTAAACTATATCTGTACTAAATAGTTTAATCAGAATAGACTGGAAGGGACCATGAAGATCGTCTAGTCTAACCCCCTGTTCAAGCAAGGGACCCTATGCCATTTCAGACAAGTGGCTGTCCAGTGTCTCCTTAAAAACCTCCAGTGATGGAGCACCCACAACATCTGGAGGCAAGCTGTTCCACTGGTTAATTGTTCTCTCTGTCAGGAAGTTTCTCCTTAATTCTAGGTTGCTTCTCTCCTTGATTAGTTTCCATCCGTTGTTTCTTGTCCTCCCCTTAGGTGATTTGAGGAATAGGTTGACCCCCCCTTCTTTGTAGCAGCCCCTCAAATACTGGAAGACTGCTATCATGTCACCACCCCAGTCCTTCTTTTCTCTAGACTAGCCACACCCAGTTCCTGCAACCATTCTTTATAGTTGATGGATATATATACTGTATAATATATCTGTACTGAACAGTATATGGATAGTACATAGTATATATATTCATTAACTATTCAGTACAGATCCCGATATCATGAAATCGGGCATTTTTGCAAAAATCTTTATTTGGGCAATAAGCAAAATGCACAAAATCTTGTCTTTTTCCAATTGCCAGAATTATTTTTTTTAAAAAAAGACCAATTAAAAGAAAAATAAATTCTCCCTAAGCTATCTAAGCCACAAAGTTTGTTTAGAATATAAGAGAGAGAGAGAGAGAGAGAAAAGATGGTTTTAATTTCACATAACTGAATGCTCATCTCCCCGTGACTCTTTCTGGACCACTTCTAAATACAAAAAAACAGATCTTAACAGCCTTACCTTTTTGCCTCTGAAAACAGATCTCTGCCGGTCTTGAAAACAAGATTACTTGTCACTCTGATCCAAGGTTTCCTTCTGCAAATGAATTGTGTATCCTCCTGACCTAATAAATCCCAAAGTCATGAGATGGGTGGGTAACTTCTTCAATTTAACTTCCTAGTTGGTTTCCAGAGCGCGTGTTGAACTTATATTGCGTAGCTATTTATAACAATTTATAACCTTCTGCCTCACATACACACACACACACACCCTCCCCTTCTAATTCACAATTGCTTTTGGGAAGGGGAGGGAAAGAGGTTGCGTTACAACTGTGTCAAGGGCCGTCACAGCTAAAAGGGAAGGTTCATATTATCAGTGGTCCCTTCAACATTCCCAGGAAGCTGTTTACACATAGCTGATAAGCAGTCAAGCAAGGACACTGTTTGGGTCCTGCCCTAGGCATCTCAATGTTTGCTTTGCTCACCATTCAAAGATAATCAAAGCTGGAAAGTTGTCCAGAAAGGAAAAAAAAGCTCTTTAAAAAGAAAAAGAAAAAAGGCAGGCTTTCATCCCATGAACCAAGATGAGATTTCATTCAGGAAAGGGAAGAATGGATTCAGCTAAAATCTTGATCGATGAACAATTTACGGGTAAGGTGCATTTACAGGTAGTCCTCGACGTACGGCGGAGCCCCAAATTTCGGTCCCTAAGCGAGACAGTTGGGTTTTGCTCCGTTTTACGACCTGTCCGGCCACAGTTCTGAAGTGAATCTGGCTCCCCCATTGTCAGAAGGTTCCCCAAAAAGGGGATCACATGACCCTGGGACACTGCGACCGTTGTAAGTACGAGTCAGTTGCCAAGCGTCCAAATTTTGATCACGTGACCATGGGTATGTTACAAGAGTCATAAGCATGGAAAAACAGCCATAAATCACTTTTTTCAGTGACTTGGTAGCTTTGAACGGTCACTAAACGAACTGTTGCATGTCGAGGATTACCTGTACGTGGTCCAGGAAGGGAATCTGAGTTTGCAAGTTTTTCCTGAAGATAGTTGCCCCTCTCTTAAGTTAAGGAAGTAAGAGTGGTTAAGATTAGTTAACAGGTATAATTTAGGCCGCGCTGACATTAAGAAAATTTAACCTGGAGGAGATTACAGATACAACTGAGGCTAAGTGAGAAATTTGTTAAGGGAGTTTCATCCCATTTGATGACTTTTTCTGGCCACATTTGTGAAGTGAACCGCTGCAGTTGTTAAATGAGTAACCCGGTTGTTAAGTGAATCCCATTGACTTTGCTCATCAAGAGGTCACAAAAGAGGATCGCGTGACCCCGGGACGCTGCGACCGTCATAAATATGAGTCAGTTGCCAAGCGTCTCAGTTTCGATCACGTAACCATGGGGATGCCACAACGGTCGTAAGTGTGAAAAATGGTGATAAGTCACTTTTTTCAAGTGCCGTGGTAACGGTCCCTAAAGGAAGTCTTGTAAACCGAGGACTTCCTGTATTAGAAGAATTAGGATGATTAGATTAGGATTGTGGGAAGGTGGCGTTTGAAATAAAGGGAAAATAGACAGGGCCCAAGCCTAGACAATCGTCACTGGAAAAGATCAAGAAGAGCAAAGAACGTAAAACTAGAAAATTAATAAAATAGGGTTAGGGTTAGGGTTAGGGTTAGGGTTAGGGTTAGGGTTAGGGTTAGGGTTAGGGTTAGGGTTAGGGTTAGGGTTAGGAGAAGAAGAAGAAGAAGAAGAAGAGGAAGAAGAGGAAGAAGAGGAAGAAGAGGAAGAAGAAGAAGAAGAAGAAGAAGAAGAAGAAGAAGAAGAAGAAGAAGAAGAAGAAGAAGAAGAAGAAGAAGAAGAAGAAGAAGAAGAAGAAGAAGAAGAAGAAGAAGAAGAAGAAGAAGAAGAAGAAGAAGAAGAAGAAGAAGAAGAAGAAGAAGAAGAAGAAGAAGAAG